ATACATGATAGTATTTGTGTTAACATTATCATGATAATTGTGTTATTTTTAGAACAATTAAATTTAATCGGCCATTTTGTAATTCATCTGTGATTTTACAAGAAAAGTTACCAAGATCGGGGAGACGACGGCCAACGTTTTTCTGTTTACAGAAAGCTTACAAATAAAGACGATTATATCCATTATTACTCCGCCCACAGTAATCAGACAAAAGCTGGTGTTGTAATCGGGTTCTTCCTCAGGGCATTGAGGATCTGCAGCCCTGAATTCCTCGAGGATGAGATTGTCTATGTAATTGATTCCTTCTTGAAACATAAATACCCCAAAGGCTTCCTACTAAACCTCTGAAAGATGGCCGAGAATATACTCACAAGATCTAATCCTGCACCTTCTTCTAATGATATTCTCATATTACCGTCATGCAACGTATCCCAGGCGATCAGCAGGTACTTCGGCAGCAGAGTGAGAATCGCCAGCACAGCCGGGAATAAGATACATGACATGATACGGGAGAAAAAGCAGCCTGAAAACAACACTAACAGTGCTGTGTATCGCATACCCTGCAGCAGATGCGACACAGCATACTTCGGTGAAACAGGCCGTGGCTTCAGCACCAGTTTAATGACCTGTCCCCTCTACTTCCCACGATACCCAAGACCCTAGTGGTAATCGACTGTGCCAAGTTTGACCTGCGCCCAGAAAATAACAATAGTGTAGTGCCCACAGAGCAAACGATTCCGACCCTTACCGCCGAATATTTTATAACTACATGTTAATTTATATCTTGATTATACTCAAAATGTTTGTTAAAAAATCCTTGTTCTTAATCACTAAGTTTGTAATCATTATTGTTGTTGATACTGTAGTTATCCAGTGTTCATGATTTAATTGTATTGTCATACCCAGTGTAACTGACCAGACCTGTGACCCTGTTGTAAACCAGAGAGCCAGTATTGACATTTCCCACGAAAGAACAATGTTGCCATATTCTTATGTTAGTGAATATTTTGTGAACCATTTGACACAAAATGGTATATATATATATATATATATATATAGATAGATAGATAGATAGATAGATATAGATATATTAGCAAGAAAAAACGAGAGCGACTGAAAGAAATGTTATTCTAAAATTTAGATTTTATTTAGAAGTACTATATGAAGGAAAGATATTTATTAAGTTACCCAAGGAAACATATTCAAAACTTTTCAATGTTATGAAAATACATCAAGGGTATATAATTCAGATCATAACTTTGACAACCAAAGTGTTTCTACTGAGTCAAACCTAACAGCCGGTGTGACCCCGTCTACAACGCCCAGAGGACTGGAAACTTCCGCGACAGATCTTCAGACTTCAGAGCCCTTCGCTTCGGTGTAGAGCGACTGCAGAAGTCTCCCAACAACATTCAAGGTGAGGCAGAATCGACCCAGACTGTCATAGGTGTTGTTCGTCCTCGCGTATCTCTTGTAGATGTAGGAGGTCGAATAAGAGGTAGGTTCTTTTATCCTGCTGTTTATTGGGCATGCATTACAGAGAGCAGGAGAGGGCGACAGTTGGACCGTCGTCTCTCCAGCTTGCGGGACCACTGAAGGGAACAGACAAACTCGAGGGGTTGCCAATTAGTCTCTATAATTGTTGTCACCTCGGGTGTATCTGTTTTACACGCTAGAAATAATTATGTACATAAGCATAGGTAAATGACACAGATTTCATATATCCACACCTCCCTCCCCCCTTTGCGCTTGTAGCAGTGTCTCAAGCGGCATATTTCCTCAGCCTTTCTGATCTGCGTGGGGCATAGGAGGGTATCTGTACTTCTGTGGACGTTTTGTCCGTGCAAGGGACCACAGGGATGTGGGAGAGGGGGTCAACACTAGGATCTGGGATGGGGCGCAAGAAACGACGATTTCGCCACCACACTCGGCCACTTGGGAGCCGCACCTCGTAATCCCTGTTACGGCCGCAACCCATGATGACTCCAACCTTGTCCCATCGGTGGGTGTCTGTATTCTGGATGCGGACATGATCGCCGACACTCAACTTGGGAAGTGGACGTGCGTGTTTATCATACTGGCTTTTCACGTGGCCAGCACGGGCTGCAGCTCGACGGTCATAATCTTCTGTACGCTCCTGCCATTCCTGGGCGAAGGATGCAGGGTGAGCAGGGACACACGTACGGAGGAGGTGGCCATATAGCACCTGTGCGGGTGACCTTCCAGCAGCAGTGGGCGTGTTCCGTAGCTCCAGCAGGCCGCGGTCGAATTCCTCGGTGTCTATGTTACCTGAGGGTGCTGTCTTCAGGATCAGGTACTTGGCAGACTTGACAGCAGCCTCAGCATGGCCGTTTGACTGTGGATAATGTGGTGTTGATATCACATGGTGGACAGCCCAACGTTTCTTGAAAGACTGAAACTCCAAGCTGGAAAACTGGGGCCCGCCATCTGTCCAGAGGCGGACAGGGACACCAACTTCGCGGAAGTAGCGACAAAACATCCTCACGGTTCTGGACGTAGATGTGTCGGTCCCACAAGGAATGATAGTAGGCCATCCAGACAGTCTGTCCGCTATCACCAAGAAGGCCTTCCCAGCGACTGTAAAAAAGTCTGCGGAGACAGACTCGAAGGGCCTGGATGGTACGTCATCTGAAAGAAGTGGCTCTTGTTGTTGGCTCGGTTGAAGGGTCTAGCATGGCTCGCAGGCTTGGACAGTGCTCTTGATATCTGCTTCAATACCTGGCCAGAAGACCGTTTGGCGTGCCCTGCGAATAGTCGCATCTGCACCACAGTGACTGTCGTGAAGTCGAGCGAGGGTACTTCTGCGAAGGGCTTTGGGGACGACAATGCGTTGGTTGTAAAGGACCAATTCTCCATCTGCGTAGATGCTGTCGCGTAGTTTCCAGTATGGAAGGAGTGAGGAGTGGAGCGCATACCGATGTGAAGGGAATCCTGATGTGACACAGTTGAGCAGGCGTATATAGTCCGGGTCATTCTGGGCAGCGTTTCGTAGGCCTTGAATGTTCCGATCGGCGTCTTGATGCAGCGACTCCTGGGCTTCCTCGGTGACGACAGCGTTGACAATGCGCCTCAGGTGTATGGCAGATTCAGTAGACAAGATCTCATCTTCGGAGGCAGGCTGGTCCACTGGCGCACGTGACAGGGCATCTGGAATTGACAACTCCTTGCCTGGGCGCCAGACAGCGGTGAAGATGTATGGTGAGATTTTCTCCTTGAGGCATTGAAGTCGTGGGTTTTCCACTGCGTCGAGGGTGTAGTTGTTGAGGATGGGGATCAAGGGGCGGTGATCCGTCATTAACGTGAAGGATGGTAGGCCGGACAGGTAGTACCTACACTTGGTCATGGCCCATACTGCGGCGAGGAGCTCTAACTCAATTATGGCGTATCGTGTCTCTGCATCAGTGAAAAAACGTGAGCCACATTGAACTAGACAGGTCCTTCCCTGGCCATGTTCTTGTAGAAGGGCATATCCTATGCCATTAAGTCGTGAAGCGTCCGTCTGGAGGATCACTGGTAGGGCCGGGTCAAAATGTGCCAAGACTGGAGGCTTGATAAGCAGGTTTTTGACCTTGGAGAAGGCCATCTCATGATCTGGTGTCCAGACAAAAGAGCGTTTTGGGCTGAGCAAAGGACGCAGGGGCTGGGCAGCACTTGCTATGTCAGGCGAAAAGTGTGAGAACTGGTTTACTAGGCCCATGAAGGAACGGAGGTCAGTGATGTTGGCAGGAGTAGGGAAATCCTGGATAGCACTGATTCTACTCTCGTCTGGTGAGATGCCTGTAGACGATATGTTGTACCCGCAGAAGTGGACTGAAGGCTCTGCCACATGGAATTTCTCTCTGTTCATGGTGATGCCAAACTCACGGCATCTGGTAAGGGTACGTTGAATCTGCTGGAGGTGAGTAGCTAGGTCCTTATCATACAGGAGGACATCATCTATGACCTTGACACAGTTTTCAATTCCCTGGAGTGCCATGTCTCCGCGAAGGCAGTATTCATCACCTGTGGCAGAAAATCCCATAGGGCCACGGCAGTGCATGAATCGACCGTATGGGGTGATAAACGTTGTTAGGTGTTGGTCCTCTTCTGCTAACTTGAGTTGCCAATAACCATGAAGGGCATCCATGGTGGTGAAGAATCGGGATGATGGACTGACACTGCGAACGGCATCAAGGGGTGAAGGGGCAGGATGCGTTGGACGTGCCACTTGACCGTTAAGCTTTGTGAGGTCTATAGTGAGCCTTACACCAACATCCTTTGGGACGACAACTAGCGGGTGACACCATTCGGAAGGTTGATCTCCAGCAGGCTTGATGATACCTTGACAGACTAATGACTGGAGCTCGTCCTTGACCTGCTGCTGGAAAGCAAGAGGGATGCGGCGAGGGGTGTGTACAGCAAAGGGGACCGCACCCTCCTTCAGGTGGATACGCATAGGCGGACCCGACATTGCCTTGAGGGGAGCATTCTGGAGGTCTTCCTTTGACACCAGGACGTCACTGAACTCCTTGAGGAAATAGTCCTTGGCAGCTGCTGGAGAAATGGTGGCAGCTTTTGGTAGCTGAGTGCAACGGTTAACATGCTGAACGTGTTGAATGGGTTTTGGAAACTCCTGTGGAATGATAGCCAACGCCTTGCAGTGACTGTAGGAAAGAAGAGGCGTCGGGATATCCTTGTGTACTTGTACTGTGGTCTTGCAAGATTGCCTGCCAAGCCTCAAAGTTGCGATGAAACATCCAAGGGCAGGTGACATCTCCGAACCATCGGCTGTGAGGGTAGCAGAACTGGTTATCTTTCGGAGGCTGCTCTTCGGTATGTTGAGGGAGGCGAGATGTTGTTCTCCGATCACAGTAATGTCCGCACCTGTGTCTGGTAACATGTGTAATTGAGAGGACTTGTTACCGTGAATGAACTGAATACAGATGGGACTAGGAGAACCAGTAGAAAGCATGACGTCAGCCGCACGACGACAGGCATTGGCTGTGCAGTTGTGTGGGCTCGACGATGGTGTGGCATAAGGTCTGGAGCGGCAGCACTTGTCATAATGTCCCAGCTTCTTACAGTGCCTACACTGGGCAGCTTTAGCGGGGCATTTCTCTCTCCTGGCCCAATGACCCTTACGCCCACAATTACGGCAAGTAGAATCACGTGCGGGGCAGTCAGAGGGGCCATGTACATGGCCACAGGAGGGGCAAGGCTGACCTGAAGACTGTTGAGTGGAGCTTCCAGTTCGGCCTGAGGTTGTTGGTCTCTTATTTTTCTCTATTCGCGACTGCTTCTTATATGACGAAACTGCACACATCTGGCTAGGTGAAGCGTGAATGGCTGATGCTGTGGTCCGGGTGGCTTCATAGGATCTGCAACAAGTGGCGACATCCTGTAAAGAAGCATTTGAATGGAGGGCAATTAACTTTTGAACAAGTTCCTCGTCCCGGACACCCATAAGGATGACCATTTTCAACTGTGTCTCAGTACATGTAACAGAATGGCCAGGACACAGGTCAACTTCCTCAGCAAGGCCTCTAAGCCTCACATAGAACTGTCCGAAGTCTTCCCCCTCCAACTGACGACAGCAGAGTAGTGCCCGACGACGGAGAGCTTCATTACGTTGACCTTTAAAGAAGTCTTGGAGTGCATCGAGAACCGCTTCCACAGAGAGGGTAGTATCAGGAGAAATGCCCAAGGTGTGTTCCAAAATCCGCTGGACCTCCAGGGAAACTGACATCCGCAGCTGGATAAGTTGTTTCTCCTGTATGAGTTTTGGGAGGTCAATCATGGTGGAGAAATCCGCCCAACGACGTCGCCATTGCCTGAATATGTGGTAGGTGGCATCATCCTGGAGTACAGGAGGGCTAGGAGCCATAGGCTTCATGGCAGTGGGTGCAGCTGCTGTGTGGGAAGACATCTGTGGGGCTGTCGATGTCGAAGATGTTGTAATAGCCGTCGTAGGGGATGTAGAAGTTGTGAAGATCCCATTGGTGGATGTTGAACACGTAGGTGTGGGCGTAGAAGGGACGAAATCGTGAGCTGAAGGTCTCAGAACGGGCGTGGGAAGGGGCTGAGCTGCGTGAAAAACTTGTGGAGTTGCCTGTTGAGCAGCCAGGAGGGTGTGATTAAACGCTTGTAGTGTCTGCAAAACTTGAATAAAGCGTTGGGAATCCTCTTGTCGAAGCCGTCTGTCCTCATCTCGCCACAATCTTTGTTCTTCTCTCCTTCTCATCTCGTCCTCTCGTCTCATTGCCTCAAATCTTGCCTCTGCAGTGAGTCTAGACTCCTCAAAGTACCTCATGAAGTGCATTAGTTCAGCATTAGGAGGTGTAAGGGTATAATTAGGTGTGAGGAGCGGCATTGTAGGGGAATGCTGGCCTGCATTGATGTGTGAGGCGCCGTCTGTCGGGTCGCCTAAGTGCCCGCTGTGGGGTTGCAGTGGGTGGTCTGTGGGCAGAATCTCTTCTTGGCCTTTGGTAGACAGAGCCCTGGCTTGTGGGGTGTCTACAGTCTCCTCTAAAGACGCTGAATCTGCCATTATGCTCTCTGTTGATGGAGCAGTTCAATGGCATTTAATATCACCTCGAAAAGTAAGGTGAATTTTCAGGATACTATGTCTTTTTGGTGACAATCGTGCGGGAGTGTGTACGTGCGTGGCGACGTCCCATATATATGGCTGCGAGGCTAGCCGGGGGCTCAGTAGCGAGCTGACCATCGAAGTGGGAGGATGTCGCTCGTCGTCATGAATGGGGTAGGGGTATAGGGGTACCCAAGCACTACCGGAGACGCTGAGAGGCCCCGCAAGGGGTGAGCACTGCACACAACACAACTTCACCGCACTTTAAGGGTTACACTGCACTGGGAGTAGTTGATAGTTAAATCAGTCACTGCACTGCACTGGACAAAGTTTGAGGCGTCATCAACCGGTGGGTCCGACCGCAAGGCTCTCTGGAGATTCGGTTAAAATCTTGCAGGGTAGGGATTCCTAATTACACTGCGCCATGTTGTTCGTCCTCGCGTATCTCTTGTAGATGTAGGAGGTCGAATAAGAGGTAGGTTCTTTTATCCTGCTGTTTATTGGGCATGCATTACAGAGAGCAGGAGAGGGCGACAGTTGGACCGTCGTCTCTCCAGCTTGCGGGACCACTGAAGGGAACAGACAAACTCGAGGGGTTGCCAATTAGTCTCTATAATTGTTGTCACCTCGGGTGTATCTGTTTTACACGCTAGAAATAATTATGTACATAAGCATAGGTAAATGACACAGATTTCATATATCCACAATAGGGAAGAGCACCTGCTTTCATGGACACAGGCGCGACAAGCTGGTTTGCAATACTTTAGCTCATTTCCACCTCAGAAATATTGCCAATTCAACAATTCGAATATTACTGTGTATTGGCAGTATTGTCGCATGACTTAGTTGCTAAAGTATCACCTAATGTACATGTAGGTACAAAATATGAAATCATCAAGGAAGCCGCAAATTCT